TAGTATTAACAGTCACGTTATTTTGTCATCATCCTTTCAGTATTACACGTACTGAGAATAGTTATGGATAGGCTGTTACAAAAATAATATTTACATTGTTTCAGCTGTCTTGCATTGATTTTTTTCCCTACTGGCTGATTTTTAAAGTCATTTTGGAATCATGTCCTAGCTCATTCTCTCAATATATTGTGGAGTGTAGATCTGTTACTAGGCACCGTCCACGAAACAAACAGCTCACCAAGACAACGAGTTCACGCGCAACAATAGAGGAATTGTTGGAAACGGCGTTTTTTACGCTGTCCGTTCCGACAGGTTATAAGGTGAACAGCTGAAGCAAGAGTTCAGAGTTGTAAGGGAGCCCGTAAAGAGAAGACTTTGTCGGCGCAGTTGAAGAATTCCCATTGTTAGAAGCCATTACCAGGGAACGACCGCTGAAGAGACAGCAGATATATTTCTGTGACACTAAGCTAATTTCACGAAACAGTGTCCTTTAAAGGCGATTAGTCGTCCATATAATCAAGATTTTCTTGTATTTTTTGGAACCTCAAATTTCATTGCCGTGTTCTCAACAACACACTACCAATTCCTTTCCTCGGCCAGATTAGTTCACTTCACAATATCCTGCCTTATCTATGTAAGACCCAGTTTAATATCATACTCCCATCTACGTCTAGTCTTCCAATTCTTAAGTCTCTAAACACAATTTTGTATGCATTTCTCAACTCTTCTATGCATGTAAACGTCACTTCCGTCTCATTCTGCTTGTTGTGGCCATGCTGGAATTTTCGGCGAGGAGTACAAATTTATGTCCTCATTATAAGTTTTTCTCTGTCCTCTTATATCCTCCCAATTATTTGCATACATTATGTTCATTATCCTATTCTCAAGCACCCTCAGATTGCAACGCTAACATTTGAAGGATTTCTTCATAATATTTGTAATCTAATTAAGTAATCTTACAACTTCTTGATGATCTCAACAGATATATTTAGATCTCTTTCCTTTGTTCCGTTGTGAGAATCCACATTTCTGACTCACGAAATAACACTGGGCTTAATAACATTATTTCATGTCATGTATCAGTTATTTGTAGGATTAGCCAATGATTTAGAAAATCGGTACGTTAAATTTGAACTTCAAGTAAAAAAGAGGTTATATCGGACAATACGATCCAAAGTTAATTATCCTGTCATTAGTATTTAATTAAGACCTGAACATAAAACATATAAATTGAAGGAATTATTGCTCTCCTATTCAGAGTGCATAGTAGCAAGACTCACCTTGCACCCACATATCTCCCTCTGCGGCTCGGAATCGTTCGCTGTGAAGAAACGGCTAGTTCATTAGTTGCGACACCTGCAATAGCAGGAAAAATACAGAGCTATATGGCAGTTCTGGGAAGATACCCTTGATGATTTCTAGACATGTTGCCGAGTTTCTGTAACTGAGACAGTTTTCATCCTACGTTCTTAATCTTACAAGAAAAAAGTCTTAACGCTGTTCTGTGTGTCAATGTGACTTAAAAATTGACAGGTTTCCGTGAAATTCTATACGAATATCATGACATTATATCTTACATTTCTAGGTCTTAAATCCATGCAAATTTTAATAATAAAATGACCTTTATATGGACATCAGGGGTGCAAGCAACACTAGAGCTACATAACTGATATACATGTACAATCCTGAGGTGCGTTTTGACGTATCTACATTCGTTAAGCTACATTCGTAGACACTTTTAGCTACAATACTTGCAACAATAACATGGCAGTTTCGTGAAAAGTAGAACAAGAAGGATGTCGGAATGTATGTCGAATCAAATTCATTGTGAAGAATTTCGTCTTCTAGGATGTGGCGCCGTGTAGATATTTTGTTAACAGACGTTTCGTAGGAACGTATCGTCTCCATCTTCAGGGTATAAGAAATCTGCGAACGTTGAGTCAGCGTGAGCAATTGTTTGTAAACTGACCTCATATTGATTCATCGTTCCCGGATTTCTTATACCATGAAGATGCAGGCGATACTTTCCTCCGAAACGTTGGTTGACAAAATATCTACACGGCACTACATCCCAGAAGACCGTATTCTTCATAGTCACTGCTGTGAAAACCTCAAATCTTACAAATTGATCATGCTTTCGTCTTAGAGATAATGAGCCTGCCAAAGTCTGCTAGCCATGTGTTTCGATTTTAACTTCTTCAGCGTGTCGGCCCCACCAATAATAGTTGCAGCTGCATTAATATTAAACCAACTACACAGGAACCAGTCAAGAGAATGAGTTATTAACGTAAAACTAATTTAAACAAATAAGAAGTAAAATTGTTCATGTGCTTAACTAATTAAGCACTACGTCATGAAGGCGTATGGGGAATGGATGTATAGATCCACATTTTCTTGACGTCGGCATTTGTTGGAAGTGAGTGGTCAGCTTCATGCCCCTGCCGCTTTACCCCTGGGAAAGAGCCCCCGGTATACATTGGATAGGAGATTGGGTGGACCCTAGAGCCGGTCTGGACGACTTGGAGAAGAGAAATCTCCTGTCCCCACCGGGACTCGAAATCCGACTCCTCGGTAATCTAGCACGCAGCAAGTCGCTATACCGACTCAGCTATCCCAGCTCCAATTTAAACAAATTATTTCATAAATTTCATTTAAATAGTTTAATTGATTATGCTTACCAATAAGTTGTGGATAAATATGTCTGTATAATATATCAAAAGAATTCTAATAATTGTTTCCTTCTTAGTGGTGTTTAGTTTTGCTTCGCGCGATGAGTTAACCTGCTTATTACAATCGTTGTATATGCGTCTCTGAAGCACATCAGATCTGTAGGCAGTGCTCGTAGCCGAAATCTTATACTGTCAAGAAATAAGAGGTGAAAATACTTTGTATTATTTATGGTCTGTTTAACGACGTTTGGTAGCTCTGAGTATGTAGTATTGCATGTAAGGATGGCTACTGAATAATGAATTGCAAAGATATGGAAGGAAGAGATTTTGAGAAACTACTGGGACTGAGGAAAATCACGAGAAACCTCAGTCAGGATAACCGGTTTCCAGGCTTAGATTTGAACCCGTGAGTTCCGAAATACGAAACAGGAGTGTTATCCAGTCGGCCGTCGAAATCACAGATGAAAGCATGTCAAGTAAATATGGAGAAAGAAGGAGTGGGCTTATAGGCTTAACGGAAGGGAAGGGATTGTTTCTGCCAGTAGCAGTTGCGTTGTGAAATGCCTGCTTTTAGCTTTCCTATTTCTGCCGCACAAGGAAAAGTTCAGTTCGTCTGTTTAGTGTGAGAGAGACTGCAACTACAGTAACGAGAGGGTGAGTATTCTGGTGCTTGTGCTTTCATATTTCCTCTTGATTAAAAGATATCCTTTGTGTAATTATTTCGAAAACGATAGGACTTTACGGTACAATTGTTTTATTTTAAACAAATTGAACAATTTAGAGATTAACTTTCCCGTCTTATATGTATATGCATATATTCCTGTGTAGTTGTGAGTTAGAGTACCACAACCGTAGCGCTGTGAGACGTAGTAGGCGACGAAAGGGGAACCCAGTGTCTGGGGGTCACCCTGTCACTGGGGAACATAAATACAGGGGCCTGGTGCGCCAGGTCGGCGTTTGGATGCAACGCTCTGGACCTTGCTCTGTAAGGAAATTGCTGAGGCGAAACCTATAGAAGTGAAAACCGGATCAAATCTGGCAGAATCTTCTAAGGAAGTCTATGGCTCAAAAAGATCTGTTTTGCCAATGATGATGATTGATACAGGTAGCAGGTTGAAACTCCCACAAGAGACAGCACAACTACAGGGAGTGGCGACCATGCCTTTTGTGAACTCCAGGTCCACTGGGGCAGTGGGTAGCAGCTGATAAGGTCCTTTCCCTGGGTTACGTGGCGTGTGGACGGACTTCTTGGCCGTGGTAGGCAACAGGTCTACGGGAAAGAAGCCTTGGAAGTTTGCAATAGGCAGGTCACGTGCTCAAGTAAAAAGGTTACTGATAATTTTCAAAAATATTTCATGTTTGTGGACGGAACAGGCTAACAAGCTCAAGCTTTACAGATGATGATGATGATGATGATGAGATATTCACTCCTAGACAATATTGTTCAAACTGAGGTGAAGTCGAACTTTAGTAACAGAATAATAATCAGTAGCGAAGCTTCCGTGTTCATTGTTACTACATGTAACTAAACAAGGAGCTAATATATAGAGCCTGCATAAATCGATTAACATGTATTACAGTCACAATAGAGCACAGAATCAAATCTGATTTTAACTCAGTCTAAATTCAATTAAAATTTACTTTTGTCGTTTTTCTTAATCACGACATTTTGCAAAAACCTGGTGCATTCTTCTTGGAGATTTACCTGTTCTGATCGTGAAAAAAGTATTCATTAGCATATAAATTATATGTTAATTATATTGTGGCATGTAGACCCTTGATAGATAACGGCTTTTACTAGGCAGCTGCCCGCACGCAACAATGGTAGTAGTGTTGGAAACTGTGGTTTCTGTGTGGTCCGCTCCGAGTCTATATCACGCGACCGATCAAGTTCAGTTAGTTCAGTGAAGTGAAGTGAGTTAATTAGAGAAGTGCTGCTGTTCAGTCTTTGTGACTTGCTGTTAGAAGCTGGCAGCTAAGGCACGGGGACAGTTCGGGAACCCAGACTAAGGGGAAGGCCAGCAGTTTAAAGCCGTTACCTGACAACTGGTGAAAACATAGCAGACTGTAAGGACTTAATACTTGCTGTATTGAACTGCTGAATGTGTGAATTAGAGATAGGCCTAAAGTTGCTTGTTGCTACGATCTGTAAGTGGTCAATAAATCCAATTACAAATCCAAACCCCGTCTATAGTCAAATACACGGGTCTATACACTGCGGTAAACCAGTCTCTCATAAAAGGAGCTAATCTGAATGGTATAAAATTGCCACAAATCCCAGTTTAAAATCCGTATATCTTCTATGTCAATTTACTTTAACTAACCACCTCACTAGCAGCATAATTCGAAATGTGAACAGCGCCAAATCCGATGCCGTCATTAGAGTCTCAGCCAGTTCCAGCCACCTCTAAACCTTCAAATATATTCGTCTAAGTTCCATTGTAATATCATCAAAATACAAAATTACCACTTGCAGAGAGGTTTTTACCGCCATAATTGTTTAACTGTGTGTTGTCTCGCATATACGAGATAAATATCCCGTCCTTCGCTGTCCTTTAGATTTCACTATCCTGTTTATAGTGATCTGCATAGATAGCGAAGTCCCGCTTTATTTAATGCCCTAAGCAGCTAAAAACTTCGCCCCACTTAGGTAAATTATTTTCCTTAACGCTTCGTTTTTAGGCAGCCATTCATTCAGAGTAAGACATACCGTTAGTAACACACAACACAACGTTTTTTTTTATTGCTAGTGGGGTGGGACTAAGTCCCTTGTACTGCGGCCACTTCTGGACTATTGTGCCAGCCCCAGATGATAGGTGAGGGTGATTGTGGAGCAATTGGTGGAATGAAGATTGGCAGGGAAACCGAAGTACTCGGAGAAAACCTGACCCCGCGCCACTTTGTCCACCACAAATCCCACTTGACCAGACCCGGGATCGAGAAGCCAGCGACTAACCGCTTGAGCTATGGCGCGGCCTACAACACAACGTAAGTCACTTACCTTGTTTCTGATCTGCCCACGACTCACACTGCCAGCAGCTGCGCCTGCAGTTATACCCGTCTTGAGGCTCTTTCTTATCTACGGAGCGTCTGATTGGTAACTGCTACCACTCCGATTTATTGTGGGGTTAAACCAGAAAATAACAACAAAGAAAAAACATAATCACCCTCTAAATTCAAATCTTCAACAAATATGTAAGATTGAGGTTTTCACGTCGGTCACTATGATGAAAGCAGTCTTCTGGAATGTGGCGCCGTGTAGATATAGTGTTAACCGACGTTTCAGAGGAGCGTATCGCCTCTATCTTCAGGGTAGAAGACAAGAAGGAATCCGCGAGCGATTGCACCTGCTCACGCTGGTTCGCTCGCGGGTTTCTTCTTGTCTTCTACCCTGAAGATGGGGGCGATACGTTCCTCCGAAACGTCGGTTAACACTATATCTACATGGCGCCACATTCCAGAAGACTGCTTTCATCATAGTCACCACAGTGACTATTTGCGTTTCAGCTTCAGTTTTCTACAAAATTTGGTATTGGAGACCTATGCAGAAACACTGTAGTGTAAATGTAATTCTAATTTGTGGACCCAATGCAGGAAGCCGGGATCGGTCAGTGGGTACAGATAGGGCCTAGGCTACAAGTTCAAAGTCCGGCAAATTCTGATTTGATTCTCTCCAGCTATTTTCTCAATGGATACGGCGATTTTACCAGGAGGGGGGAGCTGTAACTTAAGCTTAACACTCATTACCATCTAACGCCAAAATTAAGAATGCATGGAGCAATACCTCCACTCCACCACACCTCTTCGTGGAAGTATGGAAAACAATCTCTTTCTTTTTAACTTACAACCTTCATAGATATCACAACATACGATAATTAAATAGAATTTTATAAGTAAAAGTAAAGATGTCCATGTGCTTAACTCATTAGCACTACGCTATGAAGAAATATGGGGGGAGCGCATATATAGATCCACATTTTCTTGACCGCGGCACTACTTGGAGGTGAGTGGTCAGCTTCAAGCCCCGGCCGGTTGTATAGGATGATGGGTGGACCCCAGAACCTGTCTGGACGATTGGAGAAGTGAAAATTCTTGACACTGCCTGGACTCAAACTCTGACCTCTCGGTCGTCCAGTTCATAACCAGTCGCTATATTGACTATGCTATCCCAGCTACTAGAATTTTATAGACTTTAGAGAAAAATAATTTACACCGGACATAAATTATATACCTCGTTAAGATCTCTTGCTATTCAGGAGCAAAATTACAGCTGCTTTTGAGCATACGACGTTGTAGACAGATATAGGATATAGGATATAGGATATAGCATCCTTACTCCCGGTTTTAGTTGCAGTTGAGTCAACTTCACCCTCTGTTCGCTTTGCCGCAGGGACCAACATCCACAGTACTAGTTGTACAAGGGCTTTGTGGAGGCCCCAGCCGTAGCTGTAAAGAGAGAAACTCGTTTCTTCTTGCCGGGCAGTGGGCAAGTAGCCAAGCGGTAGCCCATAGCAAATTGTTTTACCGGCCAAAGTAACCCAATTCGTTCTGCAACTACGATTCTCCTATGTGTTGAGCATTAAAGTAAATCTACATAAATGGAGAAAATAGCATTATCTAACTTAAAAATTGTATCTATAGTTTGAATAGGTCAGCGCAACCGATCCCCATGGCCGTTAATTTCGGTGGACCAAGTTCCAGACCCACTACTTTTTAGAAAATGTAGTATCGTCGGGGATCGAACCCGGGGCCTCCATCCGCTAAAATTGGCAATAACTTCGCCTACAATCTGCGGTCGCTCGGTCGGCATAGTTCGCTTACGGCCCACGGCCCCCGGAGTGTGCTTTTTTTTTTTTTTGTTTTAGTTTGAATAGCGATGTAAGAGTAGACTTGAATCTAAAATATATGAAGATCGTGATGTGTGAGACAGAGTCAGACAGATTCCATTTAGAGAGCACGTGTACTGAAAACTATATTTCCAGCCCATATTTTTACCTTTTCTAAAAATGATATGCACCATTTAAAGGGGTTAATGTCCAGTATAGATGTACTTGTGGTGTAACCCATTGTTTAGGATTTAGTAAAGTGTAGATATTGTGAAGCCATAGTTCTGAATGAAATTTTGTCATGAATTTTGACTAATAGGCTCCGGGGGTCGTATCTAATCTTATATATATATGTATAATTATAAAAAATTCTTATCATAGCCATGACAATTTGCAGTGTATGTCCGTTGAACAAAGAGACGTTATCAGACCAGGTCAGCGTAATACAAACAATCAATTCCGTCGTCTATAAATTATCTAAAATCTGAACAAACAGTTTTGACTGACACTGACGCGAATTTGACACATTTATCGGGGCAATAAATGCACATGATCAATTCAAGATCTCTTCGGTTATTGTTGATCTTTAAGAGTTGTCATGTTGATAAATATTTTCACGATTATATATATACGTGACTATAGGTGGGGTTTTGGATTGTTGGGTACATTAACCACTTACAGGTCGTTCCAGAAATGACTAGAACACTGTCGCTACTTCCACACTTTACTGTTACACACACTAATGTCCTCAGTCTATTACAGTCTCCATTCTCCGTTTCCTGGCAACGGATTTTAATACAGGAGCTATAGCAGTCTCACTGAGTTACACACTCCAAACATCACTGTGCTACAACACATGTAATTCTACTCACAACTCGCCTGCCATTTGAGCTCTTAGCTCCATCTTGTCAGCCTCCCTTGCAGAGCTCAACTCTCGACGAACTGTTCACTTGGAACTCGGAACTCGACTATTCTTTTCTTTTCACACTGCGACTGACAGTCAGTGTTGAGCCCCATCTTGGGCTCATGACCAGATATTTATTGCTGTTTGACAGTTACGGTCTTGTTTTTGTGGGGAGCCCTCTCTGACGAGAGGACGGGTCTGTCTTTCTTTATATGCTGCTGGCCCTGCCAGCGCAGTCTTTCTCGTATCCGAGTCCCTTGGGATTCGCGACCATATTTTACCGTCTCAGATTTGAGACTTCATTTTCGTTGCTTCCTAGCACTCGCAGGGTCACGGTGAGAACTCAATTATTCTGAACTGAACTCTTTATAACAACTTTGCACGGACCGAATAAAGAAAGTCATTACCAACAATTCCTCTATTGTTGCTTGCGTGTCCGTTGCCGCGGAAACTTATTTACCTAGGCGTCGCTAACAATGGACGTCTCCACTATTCCGTGGTGTCTGGTCAGAGTGCTTATAGGAGAAGTGAATTCAGATGCCAGTTCAGTTCAGGGCAGTTGCGAGCGAATAGTAGCGGCAGAAGCACGCGAACAAGCAAACAAGGAGATAGCCAAGGGAAGTTCGTAGTTGAAATAGAAGTCGGCCTGTGAAGACTTAACATGTGATTAGACGACGTTATTTATATATATAATATAAACTCCGTCTTAAATGTAACATTTTATTGTAGTTCTTGTTCCCCTTCTTTTACACTACATGTTTCGGCTGCAACCGGCCATCATCAGGTGTATTTCACTTCACGTAGCTGTCACACTGCACTCAATATTAACATTTAAACACCAGATTTCCAATTGTTCATTGTCCTGTCGTCAGTCGGCACCCGATATTCCAGAACTCCCCTTGTTGATTTTGTCAATTATGTTTAAAATCTTTATTAATATTCACACGTCGATTGGTTTAAAATTTTAAATTCTCAATTTAGCTTTACTATTTAAAATTTAAATTTAGATCTAAAATCAAAATAACAGAGATACCTGCTCTATGCTTATATGTGCTGCAGCGGCTACCTCCCGGGTCTGGTCAAGTGGGATTTGTGGTGGACAAAGTGACGCTGGGGCGGATTTTCTCCAAGTACTTCCGTTTCCCCTGCTACTCTTCATTCCACCAAATTCTTCATCATCATAATCACCTGGGGCAGGCTACAATAGGCCAATCAGTGGCCGCCGTGCCGAGTGGACCCAGTTGGACTCCACCTCCCACTAAGCGAAATTATATATTGTATCCAGGAAAAATTAATTAATAGTGTATATTTTCAGGAATATTATGTAACATGACATATTTTCCAAAATTATTCGTTTCAAGGAAGCAGCTACACAGAAGCGTATCATTTGTCGTTTTGCCTGGATTTTAATACGGTTTGTGTAGGAGCCATACGTATCAATTTTGCAGTCGGAAAGACAAATTTTTCGCCACTGAACCGTACAGCCGTGCAGTTCTTCTTGCCAAGCCCATGCGTACAAGCTACGTGATGCCCATTAGTTAGCTGGACAAAACAAAAAGCGAAACCGCAAACAATCGATCATTTTGGCAGGAAACTGCCCCTGACTTTATTTTTCTGTTTCAGGGTTCGTGAGCTTTTCCCGTTAAACCTAAATGTAGCATACACAGGAAGTTTTCAGACCCATCTGTTGTTGGTGCTACCATTCTATATTTCTTGTTGTGCTTATTACTACTACTACTACTACTACTACTATTGTTATTGGAACCAAATCTGTTTCTCTTAACCATATTTTATAATCTGTACTTTTATTTAAGAATGATAAAATATTAATTTTTTCCAGTATTGACTTACGTATAGATTTGTTTTCATTGCATTACGGTTGGCATGATTGCAACATTTGAGTGGTTATCGTCTGAACGATGCGCGTTATTCTGGTTTGTGTGTATAGACCTATATATTTGTTTTGTTTGTCTCTTAGCTTATGCTTAATTTATAATTGGCTTTAGCGTTGTTGAGTAAGTAAATAAATAAATGAATTGTTTTGTTTTATTATTATTATATACTAAATAAATAAATAAATAATTTAATTGAATTATTATCCTTTCTCTTTGTCTTTAAACAACTTTCTTCTACAATTAATTATTTCCTTCTGATTTACTTTCTTAGAATTACTCTTCTATTTTTTGTACAGAACTATTAGCTNTATCTTATTCTTCTTCTCATCCATTCTCTGTTGTATTTGTTTGTCTTCTTTTGTAATTTACTCACGCTTCTTATTTCTTTATTTCCATTTTTT